TTGAAACCTTGCAGGATGTTTATTTAATCAAGAGTAAACTGTCGGTTTACCCCCTGAACTTTCACCTCACTTTCGATTTACCCCCTGAACTTTTCCATTGGAAAATTAAGGACTCAAACTAATTTTTTTAGCCAATTTGCCCCCTACCGTTAGTTTTTCATATATTCCATCCATATTTCCGTTAAGTGAAACCATGTGCACAACATGTGAGGGTAGTTAAGTTATTTCACTCTTAAAAATGATTAAAAAACTGAAAATAATAAAAAAAGCAAAACTTTCCCTCTATTTTTTCCCGCTAATTCCTATCCTCGATTTTATTTTTCTCTCTCATTCCTATGCATGAGAAATGACATATGGTGTTATTGTCTACCATTTTTATTTTCTCTAACAAATTAATAATTTGACAATGCTAATGGTGCTATTGTCTCCAAAGCAGTGCATTAATATAAGAAACCCTAGTCTTTTTTATGGACATGTTTCTTATATTAATGCACTGCTTTGGAGACAATAACACCATGAGCATTTGTCAAATTATTAATTTGTTAGAGAAAATAAAAATGGTAGTACATGCTTCAAAAAAAAGATTAACTTAGCTACTTATGAAGACAATAACACCATATGTTATTTCTCATGCATAGGAATGAGAGGGAAAATTAAAATTGAGGATAGGAATTAGCGGGAAAAAATAGAGGGAAAATTATTATTATTATTTATTTTCAATTTTTAATCATTTTTAAATTGAAATGACTTAATTATCCTCACATGTTATGCACATGGTCTCACTTAACGGAAATATGGATGGAATGTATGAAAAACTAACGGTAGGGGGCAAATTGGCTAAAAAAATTAGTTTGAGTCCTTAATTTTCCAATAGAAAAGTTCAGGGGGGAAATCGAAAGTGAGGTGGAAGTTTAGGGGGTAAACCAACAGTTTACCCTTTAATCAATTATCTATTAGTTTATCACAAAAAATTGGAAGGAAATGCATTGCATGATAGATATAACTAATTTAAGTTGATTATATAGTGAACTGGCAAACATTGTGAGTGTAGAAAATATGCACTAATTAACGAAAGAAGTTTAAATACACCATAATCATTTATATATAATGAATTAGTACAATATTTTGCACTTTATACATTGCATGGTAATATACATGAGTGACTTAGCAAGGTCTAAAATATCAATGATATCGGAAATATCGGTAGTCCAAAAATACGGAAATTTCGATGGAAATATCGGGATATTATGGATATTTTAGACCATAGGTGAAATCTAAGGCATCCAACATAAATAATTTTTGAAAATCAACGGTCATGATTATTTTAACAGTAAAAAATACTAAAAATATTTTCTTCTATAAATACCAACCACCTTCTTCATTCTCCACACATAACTCAATATTTATTTTAATATCTTTGGTGTGTTGTAATGCTATGCTTTTTCCTTGTATTTGAAATAAATTATTGAAATTAGACAATCTTTTTATTTTCTTGGAGCAAACTTACAAAGCATATAAAATTTAAAAAAAAAAAAAAAAAAAAAAATATATATATATATATATATATATATTTGTGTATAGTGCCCTTACCCTTGCCCTTCACAAATGGATGGACTTGTACATAGGCAATTACTGCTGAGCGTGAATAGTAAAGGCAATTTCATTGCCCTTGCCCTTCTAAAACGGATGAACTTGCCCTTGCCCTGTCAACCGCATCGCCTTCTTCCACTCCTTCACCTACATCAACAGCCTACATAGGCTTGCTTGGCTCCAAACCTCACTATCTCCCACGTCCAAGTCAATGCCTCCGAACCCACGCCAATTTAATACGCGTCATTCCAAAACACTTGATTTGACCCTAACCCACTTTGATTTTTCTAGCAATAAGCTTCAGGGGAAGATTATCCAATTTCATGTCACTCCTCAAAAACCTTGAAAGCTTAAATCTTCTTCCAATTCCATCAATGGCTAAATAGCTTCTTCATTCGGGGACCTGATTTCACTAAATAATGTATCTTTGTCCTTATATTCTTTATCTAGCTGCAATCAATCTCAGATTTAGTTCATCTCGATCTCAGCTTTAATCAATCTGAACAAAACAATCCAACAATCCTAAGGTTCCTTATAGAAATAAAGAGCTTCAAGGACTTGAATCTCGCAATCAAGTTCCATGGCGTTTTGCCGTTCAATGAGTTGTTCATAGGCGGATTACAATTGTTCAAGATTAGTAGGAATAGAAACCTTTGCTACTGCCACTATGTCCTCTCGACTATATCGAAGTTGTGGAATTTGCGCTATCACATATATGGATTGACCATGTCAATGCCACCAGCGATAGATGATGATTCGTCTAGGTATGACAATAGCGATTCAGACTACAATGACAGTGATGGTGGAAAAAGGAAAAGAACGAGTTGAAAGATGAATTTTATAATTTTGATTCTAAAAGAATTAATTGTTTTGTATACTCCACATGACATTATATTGTTGTGGGTCTTATATACGTGTCACATCAACACACTAACATAATTATTGATAGACTTCTAACGGAATGATCACATTGATGTGCTGCATTTAATCTGACCCCAAATCGATCGATTTTGAAACTCAATGATCAAACTGAAGAGTTATATCAATTTCAGGGATCATTTGCAATTAAAAACTCATATTTTAAAGCTACAATTTTAGGGTTTTTCTATTTAGCTTGTTAAATCTTTAGAATTTAAGAAATTGGTTAGTCATGTTATATTAGCTTTAATGAAAATGACTTAGACTAAGTTTATGTTAACTAAAAACCATTCTATAACTTTATTTAGTGAAAAAAAAACTTAAATTTTAATGAAAATGACTTAAATTCTAATGAAAAAGACAAAAATTTAATATAATAAAAAGGTAAAATAGGAAAAGTAATAAAAACCTGACACAAGCACGCGTCATTTGCGCACACTATTTCTGAAACAGAAGGATACTATACTATTTTTAAAATTGAACGTTACTACACTATTTTTAAAACTGAATGATACTATACTATTTCTGAAACTGAACACTATTTCTAAAAACTAAACACAATTTCTAAAAACTAAACACTAATTATTATTTTTAAATTACACCCGAGCACTACACTATTTTGAAACAGAACACGGTACTACATTATTTCTAAAATTGAACACAGACACTATTTCTGAAACTGAATACAAGTTGGCATGCATTGACTATTTCTTAAACTGAATATTTTATCTCTCTAGGAAGTTTAACGACCATTCTTTTCTCTCCTCTTCTTGCATTTTCTTGACACTTTCTCATCTTTCAAACATCTTTCTTCTTCTAATTTTCTTCAATTCTCATCAAATTTTTTTTGAATCTCTTCAATTTCTTAGCTCTTAAGTTTAGATCCTTGTTAAGAAAAACAAAAAGAGCTATTAGGTTGGGCCCACACTTGTTAACCACATCAACATTCCACCAGCTTACTTTATCAAAGATCCTTGTTAAGGAAAACAAAAAGCACGATTAAGTTGGGCCCAGCACTTCTTAACCACATCAACATTCCCCCAGCTTGCTTTATGAAAGTTCAGCTTCCAACCTTGAATTCCAGTTTCCAGCTTGCTTTATTTTTCTAATTATTTAATCTTATTAGTTTTTACCTATTTAGGTGCTTTTAATTTATTTTTTTTCTTCCATACATTAGCACAAAAATGGATCCCACAATTGCCATATCATCAATATAACAGGTAATGTAATGGCCAATAAGACTGAAGGTTAAATTGATGCAATTCTAAAATTATACATTGTAAATTGCTAGAAATTAAATGTCATGCCCACGTTAAAAACCACCCCCAAACCTTGATGTGTCAAAGGTAGTATTATTTCCATTGGAGAAACATCATATGGATGAAATATGTTATCGAATTCGCTATATACAATATTCGAAATTAAGATTTCTCACTTACAAGTAAAGAGGAATATCACCATACCGTAGTTGATTAGCGGTTAAAAATTATTGTTAGGTTGATACTTTTACGCATTGTACCTCTTTTACCTAATATTTAGTCATAATTTTGTATTAAATTGTTGAATTTAATGTGTTTTGTGTGAGTTTTGTTTAAAATGATTTGAGAACAAAACATGAATCTCATCGTTAATTTGGCAAAACCCGAAGATTATCGAGTTGTGCGCATGACTTTGTTGGACCGGTGCAATTATTGGAACTTGGGCCTTCAAAGCATTCCAAACCGTGTGAAATGGTTAGCTCAATTAAGTGGGTTGGTGTAAGTTTGTCATAAGTTGGCGAGTCCAATTGGTTTAGGCGACAAGGAATTGTAGTTTCCGGTTCTTTCTTTCTATATTTTCAAATTCTAACGTTGTATATTTTAATTTTATCATGAATTAATTCCTTTTGCTAGGATTAAGGTGGCTCTTATCATGAACATATAATTCTCGTTATTTATATTAATCTTAGTTATTTTTTATGTTGAGTAATTGTTATTGTGTTTTGTTGTTACTAAATAACTGATTATTATTTGTGTGAAGAACTAAATTGCGACTTCCAGGTTAAGTTTAGTAGATTGTTTTTCATAACAATTACCATGAATTTCATATCCGAATAGACATACTGCTATGATTTCTGTAGTTTCGTATAATTATCTATTGAGTTTAAGGGGGTTTGATTATCTATAACTATGACTAGATATAGCATGGGTAGATAGTTATCTATTGAGTTTAAGGGGTTTTGATTATCTATAACTATGACTAGACATAGCATGGGTAGATAGTTAAAAACAAAAGTAGTATATTCTAACAAGAAATATTGACAAATCAAGGGATAATTTCTAGCAACATGGGAATAATTTGATGTTAATATGAATAACGAGATTAGATGGGATTGAGAATGAGTAACCTGATGTTCTAGTGTTTTCATACATTAATCTTTTATAATTCATTCACTTTTACTTCGTGTCAGTTTAAAGTTAAATTGTAATAGTGAATTTAGGTTAATCCAATCCTTGTTAGAATAACATACTACTTATCACTATATTACTTGATGATGTTGTACACTTCCAATTATCACAACAACTATTAGTGGCTAACTACCGCATCCAAAATCTCCTAAAAAATTAAAAAAACTGCATCACAATACTGCTGTATTGTCCAAGTACAGACTCCAGAACTGTTACAATAACTAATACTTGGTTCAAATGTGTGTAAACATACCAACTTAAGCTTTAAGAAGCCAACTAAATGCAACAGACAAAGATATGAAATTAGACATATATAAATATTGCAGTATCTACCATCCTATCCCGTTATGAATATGATGATGAGCTGCCAAATCTCTGTTTGCACTGCCATCTCCACTCTCATGAATCCTACTGAAATTGTAAGCGCCATGACTACTCGCCATATTGTAATTTGAAGTCATCACTTGCTGCTGCTGCTGTCGTCCCCCAACTGAATAGAAACCTCCATTAGAAAAATCCATCTTGTTACTTGAAATAGTGTTGGTTTGATCATTAGAACCATGAGGGTGGTCTTCTTCTCTGGCCATGGAGTTCTTATCTCCCTCAGTCTCCCTGTACTTGTTGAGATACAATTTCAAGGGTCCAACATAATTCTCGAATCCCAGAGTTGTCATGGCCCAAAGTAGGTCATCCCCGTTGATAGTCTTTCTCTTTTCTCTCTGGCACTTGTCCGATGCTTCGCCTGTGATGAAGCTTATGAACTCCGATACACATTCTTGGACCGTCTCCTTGGCTTCCTTTGAAATCTTGGCATTTGCAGGCAGGGACTTCTTCATGATACGGCTCACGTTCGCAATGGGGAGGAACCTGTCTTGCTCTTTGGAACCGCTGTCTGAGACGTTCCCAGACAGCGGGCTTCCAACAGGACTACACGTTTGATTTCTTTTTCCACTCATTGTGTTTAGGTTTTTTTTCCCTCTCTTCCTCTTCCTTGCGTTGAAGTGTTTATGGTGTGGAATCTTTGAGGAAGAGTTGGGGGTTTTTAAGCTAACAGAAGTGGGGGGAAAAGAGCAAGCTAGAACCTAGAAGAATATTTTATTTTTGAAAAGAAAAACGAGTGGAAAGGCGGTTTGATGTGGACAAAAAAGAAAAACAAACACTGGTTGATTAGAACAAATGCAAAGGATGGTGTGTGAAGGTATGGAATCTTTGGAGGAGAGAAGAAAAAATAATATGTGGTGTTAAATAATAACAAATCATTCAATACTACTGTTTAGTGATATTTATCTTCACTTGTAAGTGAGGGATTCGAATCTCGTAGATGACAAATTCGATACTAAATTAGGTTTGTCATTGTATGGCTTAACCAAAATCCTTCCTCCCGGGCTGCGGTAGTATAAAGTATATTGTTATACTAAAAAACAAAAATAATAACAAAAGAACATCAATAATAAATTGATACTGTGACCTTTTCTGTTATGGAAGTTCCATGGAACCAAACATGAAAAATTGAGTTGGGACATGAAAAAACAAGCAATCCCATTTCCAAATATTGGTTTTTTAATATCTATTTTTTAATCTCTTTTGTTCCATAGTGTCAATTTCCTTTGTGGCTTTTGACTATAATCTAAAATCGATCAACCGAATGGGAACGAAAAATATAATTTCAGCCTGCACGGCAAAGGGGAGACCTTAAAACTGTTGAACACGTCAACCGGCAACGGATACCGTGTGTAATAAGTTATATCTTGTAACTCTATTAATCAAAGCTAAAGTCCAATTTTGTTTTTTAAAAATTTAAAACTAAAAGTCCAATTTTGTAAACTCAAGAATTTCCCTTTTTATTTATATTTTCAGTTTTATTTTTTTTTTCTTTTTTGAAAATTTAAAGTAGTTACTCAACGAGTTTTTAGTTTTCAAAAAAATGAATACTATACGGTTATCAAATGACTCTAAGAGAGTGAAATATATAAGTTGCTTAATTTATACAAAGCTGAGCAAGTGCAAATGACATTCCTATATTGCCCTACATGAGCAAAGTTATACTTACTACCTATTTGTACTATCTTTTTTATGGAGGTAGACTCTCTCTAATAGAAGTAAAGCCCGTCAACGCATATAGATCAAATTTTTATAAAAAATATGGTATAAATGATAATACAAATAAATGGTTAGAATAGTATTTTGACCTAACAACACCCCAAGGATTTGTTGGCACCAAACAACGCGTGCCACATCGATGCGTGACAATTTTCGGGACCTACATACATGCATTGTTGTCGACAAAAGAACCAACCACGTCGTTGTCCGACAGTTGGCCTTGTCTCTACACTATAGCACCTAGCCTAGGTAAATTTAGGTGGCATATATGCTAAATAAAGTTTAGGGTACCATTGATAGGAGCCAGAAACCATACCATGTTCCTGTCTTCAACAATCCTTCTTTGTGGCTACTTTGTTGATTTATTTATCTTTAGATTTCGTAAAAAACTTGGACTGCAATTTTATATCCAATGAATCACTCGGTATCTTTGTAAGGCTTAAAAAGGCATAGCAAATAGTAGAGTGGAGCACAATAACACACACACACACACACACATATATATATATATATAGGAGGCCTTTAAAGAAAGATATCTTAATTTTTTTTTAAATGGGGATTAGTTGTGGGCAGTGGCGGATCCAGAAAATAATATTAGGGGAGTCAGCAATTTTCTTTACCAGAAATAGCATGCATATCGTCATTTCATCGAATCTTGGTAAACCTAAAATCATTTGGAAAGATATATTACACACCTGTTAATGTATGCAAGGGGCAGCACCCAAGGTATCCATGGACATTCATCGAGTCTTGGTAGGCCTAAAGTCAATTGGAGGGCATGTATGAAGCTAACTCTAATCTTCAAAAGGGCAGCACCCAAGGTATCCATGGACATTCACCGAAGTTCGGGGGTCAGCTGACCTGCCCAGCCCCTCAATGCATACGCCATTGGTTGTGGGGACCATATCACAATCGAACTTCAACAATCTAAATCGTCTATTTTTCAAGTTGGACCTCATTAATCATCCTTGCAAAATATTAGTCAAATCGGAAATATTTGAGACATCTTGTTGAGTTCAAAGAAATTGATGAACACTATGTTCTATAAGAAACAATGAAATTACATAGTGATAATTAAATATGCAAATGGTTTCGGATTAAATTGAATTTTTGCAAGAATAATCTATGAATTGAGATTTACAAAATAAACAGTTCGGATCGTTGAAGTTAGATGTGAAGTGGGCCCAAAAGACTTGTATATATATACATATGTTTATGTATGTGTGTGTGTGTATATATATATATATATATATCTATGAGCTATTCCTACTTGTCTTTCCAAGATTCTCTATACCGATCACATCTCTAGACCGTAAAGATTATCATCTGCCCGCCATTCTCAATCTTTGTTTGGTTGAATATGGTTTTCCCCTTAATTATTAGTTAAACTAGCCTATATGTACGCATACGTAAGCCCTTCGCTGGCGTATGAGGTTTTTTTTATCACTATTTGGGTGACCTAAAATCGCAAACAAAGACTTACTCATTTTAAAATAAGTGCTCAAGTTTAAGGTCATAGTTAGATGATTTATATTGTAAAAATTGTATAGGTCAAATAACCATGCACGGGAGATCATGTATCCGATTATTAACTCCATAATATCACTTGTATTAAATGGTTAATTACGAATATGGCCTAATTCATGAATTGTGGTTATAGTTAGATGATTTATCGTGCAGCAATTTTATAGCTCAAGTAACAATGCGCTCAAAGTTTTATTCGATCAATAACTCCGTAATATTTGTATTAAATGGTTAAGTATGGATAACAATATGCCTTAATTCATATCTGCAATGTGCCTTAATTTAATAAAATGATTTGCTTTGTACTTGCTTAATTATTTTAACGCATCAGACCTTGTCCCTGATATGTAGTCTCCACCGTAGCTTTGAAAAGAGTATAACTATCATCTTACAAAAACGAAAATAAATATATAATAAAACACACTAAACATCTTTTGATATGTTTTTTATTTGGTCAAAAGCCATCTTTTGATCAGGCTTGTGACAAATGGCTTCCTTATCAACTGCGTCGACCTGCTCCTCTCTACAGAGAATTCTGGACCTGTGCATGTCCTGCTGAATCGCTACCTGCAGTCCTGCCTTCTTAAACTACATATGATGTGGTGGGGGTTGGGAGGCAGATTGTCTGCCTTTCTGTTTGAATATTCTTCCCATCCTTTTTTATTTGTATGGTAATGGGTACGTCATGTCAATATTTTATATTTTTATTATTTTTTATTATATTATCTCTATAAAAAATTAATATAAAATGTTGACGTGGCTTAACTGTGACCGCACAAAATAGGAGAGGATGAGAAGGGCACCCAAACAGGAGGGCAGACAATCTGCCTCCTAGAAAATATTACAAAGATCACATTTTTTATATCACATTTTAAAATTATATGATGTATCACATCAATTAACATAATAAGCTCTATTTAATATGCTTATTATTAATATTCTACTTAATAAATTAGTCTTTTCACATGCGAGAAAAATTTGTTTAGGACTTAACTTGTCATTGGACATGTTGTTGTTTGATTCTAAACGATATCTTATTAATCTCACTTTGAGGTATATATACATGATTTACAAACATTATCTCACAACTACAAAATAAATACAACTAATCAAGATTATTATATAAAAGTCAACATTCTCTTTGGTATATAAAGGTATTTAAATATCATATGTGCCCAACTTATATAAGAACCTAGAAAGCACTTGATCTTATACTACATTCGTAAGCATATCAGCTAACTAATCATCCGTCCTGATACTCCAATAAATTTATCTTCAACTTTCTCTTTAATTAAAAAACGATCAACCTCAACATGTTTCATCCTATTGTGTTGTACCGAATTTTGAGCATCATCTCACGCAACTTGATTATCACAAAATAACTTCATCAACTGATTAGGTCCAAAATTCAAATCCTTTAGTAATTGCTGCAACCATATAATCTCACAAACTCCGAATGACATTCCTCTAAACTTTGCTCTTGCACTCGAACGAATAACTACATTCTACTTCTTGCTCCTCCACGTAACAAAGTTTTCCTCTACAATGGTAAATCAACCTGATGTCGAACGCATGTTATCAATTGAACTTGCCCAATCTTCATTAGTATATCCTTTAACTTTGAGATGTCCTGACACACCCCGATCCGGAATGTCCACCTGGACACTCGAATCGAGATGTGTTGGGCGACACCTGGAATGTGACGAAACCATATGTTGTAGTGATGTGGAAAATGTGAATAAATTAAAATCTAAAAGTGACTAATTTAGAGTGCGCATGTGAGCGGGATTAAACCCATATTATACAAGTGATGTCAAACCATAGATAAATTGCAGTAAAAGAAAAGTAAAGGCATTTATATCGAAAGGAGAAGTGACACACCCCGACCTAGATCGAGGCATGCTGACCGTCACGTGAGGGTGACCTAACCATGTGCACAGTGGGGAAGCAATATTAATATAAGGAATGCCAATAAACGAAAAGAAAAAAAAGCAAACCTATTAGAGCACTAGATAAGATAAGGTGAAAGACGAGAGTAAGTGAGACTACACATAACCAGAGCGTAGATATCCTAGGTGCAGTCCAGCAAGACAAATGCTAATTATACAATACTAAAGATGGTCCTACATTTATGATGATCTGTTAGAACCATCGTCAAATCCTCGTGAGCCACCAACAAGCACTCCTACCTAAAACCTGGAGGGGCGCAAAACAGAAAGTGTGAGTGGGCAAAAACAAAGCTTTTCAAAACCATTTCATTTATCAAAAGTAGTAACTCATCTCCGTAAAACCTGTATAATTCCCAGAAAAATAGCATGCATATAAATATTTCTCAAAACCCTATTTAAGATAGCACGTCCATAATCATGCCATGTCAAATATCTCAGCAAGGAAATAAGTAAGTCAG